CATCCTTTTTGCACCTTAATGATGCATTGTTTTTGTACCTTAACCTCCACCCCAAATAAACACAAGAGGTGACCTCTGCTCTTTGACTCCATAAAGGAGAGGGGCTATGTTTGCTTAAGACTAAGATCATTAAACACACGGGGAGGACAAAATAGGGCTAAGAAAAAATCTGCATGCAAGTACTATTTTACCTTTTTGGCAAGTGTGAGCAAGTGTGTGATCAGTTATACACAACTGATTCCCTAAATCAAGTTGTGATTGATTTGGAGTAACTCAGTGACTGTCCAGTAACTTGTGTGATGTCCTACTCATACTGGGCAAATCCAACAGGATTCTGGCCAATGAACCTTCTTTACTACACATGAAAATGTGTTTCAGGAAATAGCAGTCTGCCAGGACACTCTATAAATGACCTGCAAGTTATTATTTATTTATTTAAACTACGTATTTTTATGCTGCCTTTCTCCCTATAGGGGACCCAGGGTGGATCTCAGCAGATAAAATAAGACATCTGAAAACATTATATAAATATCACATTTAAAAAAACAACAACTAAACAGACATTAAGATTAAAACAATTAAGCATCAAAACGATTGAATAACATTTAAAAACCCGCAAGTTAAAAACCAGAATTCCCAATATAATGTTAAGTTACTGTTGGAGAAAACAAAACAAACCTACAAACAAGATTACAAAGAGAGAAATCAGAAATGAGATTCACCAACAAATTTCAGGATGTCTAAAAGAGAATCAATATCAGTGAAGATTTATCATGTCATTATATACATTAATTAACACTTCTCCCTATATCTTGCAAAGGCAAGAGATACCTTTACTGTGTTACTATTTTAAAAAAACACTCTGGCAAGAGTTGACCTTAGAAGAAACCTCCTGCCTTTACACTTCTTAGGTGTGAAGCTATCCAAGCCACACAAACATTCCCACAGTTCATTCTTTGGGTCAATAACGTCATTGTCCCCGATTTCTGCTGGCCCAAAAGGATATGTATTTTTATTTCACTCCACTCTGATATGTCTGACAAACTGAATTAATTCATATACACTGAAATATAAAATCTCACAGGTGAGGATTCAATTCGATGCATTGAACATGCCAACAAGAGGTAAAGCTTCATAAGGTTTCCCCAAACCCCTCAAACACTACAACGGTTCACTGGGATCCTCATTGAAATACCGTATGTATAAAAGTTAGCCTTTAAGATACTACCGCTTCCCCGTTTCTCTGTTTTGTTGTTCTTTTCTCTATTTCTTGGTATAAATAGGGATACACATTGAACTGTAGTAGCAAATATTGGCCAAAATTCTGTTGCTTAGCCAATTGCACTGTTAAATTATTCTTATTTATTTATTTATAGTATTTATTTATTCATTCTTATTTATTTATTTATTGTCATTATAAGTATGTGTGTGTGTGTGTAAGGGGAGATCACAAAGACTATACAGTATATAGTCTTCTGTTGATTTCTGTTTACATCTGCAATTTCAGGTGTGTGTGTACACTCTCTCTCTATACATATACATATATGTATATATAGTGTGTGTGTGTGTGTGTACACACACACATTCTCTCTCTTATATATATAGTGTGTGTGTGTACTCTCTC